GAAGTAGGGTGGAAGGGGGGATTCTTTAAATCGAAGATGGCTGTAGCGAGAAACCCTGGCTCTTTATAGTGGGTTAGGACTGCCCTGATTGGTGGATCATACGTAGCTAATGCAGAACCAGCCATGTTCAATCATAATCGCGTGATCCTCTCGAAATTTCTTTATAAATACACTTCACTTAGAAATTGATATTTTGTTGTTTTTAGGTCATGTTGGAAAGTGACCAAAATGCAACATCAATCTGATGTCATGCTGTTGTCCTGTGCCTGCTGGGTTGTCTTGCTGTTGTTGCTTTTAAAATTAGATTCTACTGGTATTGCAATTTTAATCTTTTCTAGGTATGAAAAAGAAGCATTTCTATTGAAACCCGACCATCAGCCTTCACATCAGAACATCAGGAATCAGGTATACACAACACACACACAAAGATTGGACATTTTTATTCAGTCTGAAAGATGCAATATGCATCTAAAATGGTGTCTGTCACAAAACTACTTTGGTTTACAAGATTTTTTTTGTTTAATCATGTTACCTTATACAGCAAAAATGTGAATGGAAAAAATCGAACCTTGAATGTCTAGTTTTCATATAACATTACAGTATTTTCCAGCTGAAACGATATAAAATGGAGGAAGCCAGTCGCTTACAAATATTGCACACCGCAAGTTGCATTTAGCCTGAACAACTAATCAACATTTAAATATAGATTTCTGAACACATTCAGAAAAATATAGGCAAATGACCAATCACATTAGGTACAGTATAAAATGGTTAAATACAAAAAGGCAAATCTTTAGATGAATGAAAAGACTACAAATGAGCAAACACTTGCTGAGTGAACGTTTAGCTCAAGGTGAAATAGGTGAAATAGGACACTGTTAAACGAAATCTAGAGGATCCAAAGGGTATGGGATGGACTTCGGGATGGAGAACTGGGCGGTCAAAGGTAAACAAACACAGAGGTATATTTTAGGGGCAGTTCTTTGCTGTTGGTGATTAGCTGGAATATTTAGAGGATTTAAGGCTCGAGACAATTGCACAATCTCATTCTTAGGCCAGAGAGGGAAATGGCAGTGTCTCTGTGCAAAGACATAAAGGCCAGGTTTCATGCGTTCATTCTGAAAGCTGATGGTTTTATCATGTCGAGCAGTTCGGCTGTGCTGAATCATGGGATTTACTGCGGGCTCCACAAGTCTGATGTGCGTGGGAATTAAAATCCAATTTAAAACTCATCACAATTCTTTGCTATTTGTAGGTCACTAATCGAATGTTAGTAAATTAGTGACGTTGATCATGCGACTCTTTGTACAGACGGTCCATCGAAGCACAAGCTTTTGTTCACGTTAGCTTTTCCCTCAAAACTCATAATGAAGACAATCTGATAAATGTCAGTATATGAGTAATCCAGCAGCATTCACATTGAATCTTAAACAAAAATAAACAAAAAGAAATGTGCGCTTTTCAAATCACGTTTTAATTCTCACATAAAATTTTCTTTTGGAAAACTGGTATCTGTTTAAATAAATGTATTTACTTAAAGAAATCAAAAAAAAAAAAAAATATATATATATATATATATATATATACATATTTATATATATATATACACACACACACACACATATATTTATTCACACACAACAGTTCTTTCTGGTTCTTGTATCTGATTGGCTGATAGCCATGCAAAATTCTGCAATAACAGCACTCTTAGCCTCTTCTCCCTTGTGTAAACTCACTACAGTTAGACAATTATTGCAGCTGTTGGACAACATAATGTACTTTTGAGGCTTTATTATGTGAGAATGTAGTTGTTTAGATTGCAACTACACAGTTTAATTATAAGGATAGTGCCTATTTTAAAATATTTGTAATTTCTGAGATACAGAGTGTTGGCACCTTGAGCAAAGACGGTTGATGTTCTGCCACAAGATGGTGACAGAGACCGCATAATAAGTCCTTAGGGGAGAAAAACTCAAACCACAGCTAAACAAATCATTATAAATCAGGTAAGTGACATTCTAAGTTGATCTCTGTCTTTTGTGTGTTGTAGTGCTGTATTTATACCATAGTATTCTGCTAGTGTTTGCTTTGCTTTGGCTTTTTTGGGGTTAATTATTGTGAAATCCTGATTGCAACAAAGAAATACTGGGAAATCTCTGTTTACTGATGGCATTTCATGCCGTTCAGCCTTATAATCTTAAAATGTCAGCAAAATCAGCTGTTTTGTCATCATTTTAGACATTAAGCTAGAGAATCATTCAAATGCTAGCTCTAAAGTGATGTTGGTGAAGTAGCAACGGTTTCTACTGTTCTGATGTCAGCTGCAGAAAGTAGTTCCTCATACAAAAGGGTTTTAAGGCTCTTTGTGATTGATTTTCTTTTTTATATACTCGATTATGCTGTCGAACTGTTGTATAAACATAATATCACACTCATAGCAGTGCGATATGGCTGTATATCATCACTGGTGCCTCTGCGGCCTCGAGCCAATGCACCCCTCCCACCAATGCTGATATACTGCCATATCACAGTGCTACTCATGTCATATTGCTCAAATATATGATAAATGTATTTTCTTAAAAATAAGTAGAAATCAAAAATAAAAATAAATAATTACAAATAAAAAAATAAAAATAGAAACTTAAGAAAAAACAGTAAATGATTATACAATTAATTTTTCTCAGTGATGGGTTGCAGCTGGAAGGGCATCCACTGTGTAAAACATATGCTGGATAAGTTGGCGGTTCATTCTGCTGTGTTAACCCTTGATTAATAAAGGGATTAAGCCAAAAAGAAATTGAATAAATGACATATAATATGATTGGTAAATGTATTTTATAAAAAAAAAAGTACAAATTCCCTGACTAGATTAGTTTTTTATTAGATTTATTATAGAGGGGAAGCATTTTTTTCTTTAAAGATATAATAGGGAAATATATATAAAGAAATACAGGTACTCAGACTGCTTCAGACTCCGCCGTACATGATCAGCTAATAAAGTGCTGCCGAACAGCTCTGTGTGGTGTTGATAATCATCAGCTTTCGGATCATCTTACAGTGAATGACGCTTATAATAGTGCATCAAATGATACTTAGCGAACACAGCTGCCTGCAGTGTTAAAGTGGCTCTGTGTGTGTGCAATGGCAGTGGTCACTATAGTTCAAGGACAGATTGAAAGGACAGAGTGTTAAAGTATGCTTATGTCTTACAGTATAAGTGTGAGTGTGTATGTCTGTGCACAGCGTCCGCTCACTGCGGAGGTACATTCATTTTTCTTCAAGACAAAGAACATTTAAGAACCTCATCGTACAAGATTTACTGCCACAAGCACTGACGGACGTCATAATGTCGCTAAATGTCACATTTAGTTCGCTGCTGTTAAGTATTGTCCTAAAAAATCAAGCGAAAAGTCGCTCTCTCTGCTGATGAATTCAATCCCAACCAGGCGCAACATGATTTCTACAACAAAAGTCCTCATAGAATGACAAAACTGCAAGATTTTTGGACCAATGAGATTGTGACAAAAAGTGACAAATCTCCAAAATGTAAAATTGCAGCCGTTTACTCTGTTTATTTTGAGCTTTTGAATTTAAAAAAAATTATATATGGAATTTGTTCCATTTTTGCAGGAAGTGATAATTTTGTTCTCTTACACACATGGGATGGAAACTGTTTTATATAATAATTGTTTATGCATAATTTCACGATTTTTGATTTAAACAGATATTATTTTATATACAGATGAATTCAAAATTATTCCCCCTCCTGTGGATTTAGATTTTTCAAATGATGTTTTACAGATCAGGGAATTTTTCACAGTATTTCCTCTAATATTTTTTCTTCTGGAGAAAGTCTTATTTGTTTTATTTCGGTTCGAATAAAAGCAGTTTTTAATTTTTTAAAAACCATTTTAGGGTCAAAATTATTAGCCCCCCTTAGCAATACTGATTTTCAATCGGCTACAGAACAAACAATCATTATGCAATGACTTGCCTAATTACCTAACTTGCCTAATTAACCTAATTAAAGTCTTTAAATGTCACTTCAAGCTGAATATTAGCATCTTGAAAAATATCCAGTCAAATGTTATGGCAAAGATAAAAAGAAATCAGTTATTAGAAATTAGTTATTAAAACTATAGGGCTCTATTTTAATGATCTAGACACAAAGTCTAAAGCACAAAAGCATTAAGGCATGTTCGAATCCACTTTTGCCATTTTAAGGACGGAAAAATGTGATCTGCGCCCTGGCGCATGGTCTAACAGGGTTGTGCTTATTGTCTTAATGAGTTTTGAGCATAACATGCAATAAACCAATCAGAGTCTTATCTCACATTCCTTTTAAGAGTTAGTTGCATCGCGTCATGGTGCATTTGTTATTTACATGGCGGACTTTGTGAGTTGATAAACTGAACTCTTTACTAGCAAGAAAACAGTTAAACAGACCATCTGCAGTGCGAGGATAAAGAACGAGCCTCCTCCAATCGGCCTCTTTACTTTCTCTTTATTTTTACTCGTTTACTTTTTTGGATAAGGAAACAACGTTGTACCCACTCCCAAAGACATCAATTATCCTACATATTTAATTTAGTTTAAGCACTAAGATTTGCTTCAAAACTATTTCTAAATTCAGTTCTAATATCCAGGAAACAAACAAATGAACAATAATAACGAAGTGTGGCCAAAAAAACACATCCAAGCATGTGAACTGAAAAAAGGCATGGAGGCAGGGGTTTTTATATTTATGTGAAAAAGAATCATTTTTGTAGAAAATTGAATCATTTCTTTGGAAAAGAATAATTTTTCGTATGTAAAGGTATTTGTGTATTGTACATCCTGTGTGTATTAAGCAATGTGTAAGCGTTTAGGACCAGCATAGTCGAATAACTAATGCCTTTACAAACTTTAAACCTGCTTTTAGCTGGTCAACAACATATATTTTAGTTCTTCAAAATGGCTAGGCACCAACAATGCGCCTTAACACACCTCTATTTTAGACCAACACACTCATGAGTCCACAAAGTGGTGCAAATGCATTTGCTATTTAAACAACTTAGCGCAAAGCGTGAAAATTACTGTTGCGCTGGTCTGAAAATAGCAACAAATCGCGCCAAACATGTGTTGCACCTTATTGCATCAGGTGTATGATTGTGTTTAGAAATGTGCTGAAAACATCTTATCTCTGTTAAACAGATATTGAAGAATTTAAAGTGAACAGGAGGGCTAATAATTCTGACCTCAACTGTACATCTAAGCCAAACGCTTTTTTTTATCATTGGAAATTCAGTTCAACCAAAACTGTAATAAAATGATCTCATACTATCCAAATCCCTGCTAGATATGCTGAGCAATAATAAAGTAATGCGCAGTAAATCATCTAAATGTTGCACCTGGTCAGGATGTGGTTAAATCTAAAAAACAGTGCACTACAGATTAAACAAACCGCCTCAGACGGCTAAAGCTCACATCAGGTTATTACAATATCAGCATTAATGCTAATACCAGTGATTACAATCAGAATACAAATCCTACATGGCAAAAAAGATATATCAGTATAAGATAATTCTGTAAAAACACACTAGTGCAGAGAGAGAGGGGAGGGGGGCGACACAGGAAAGCAGAATCTCCCATAGGAGAGGACAGAGGAGGAGAAATACGCCAATCTCTCTTAGAGAGTCTCACATAGTAGTTTCTACGATGGTGTGTGTGTGTTTGCTGAAGGCGTGGATGCCGTTGGGGTCCAGCGGGTGAAGCAGCTCGCTGTTCTTCAGGCTGTACTCCTTCGGACGGGAGCTTGCGCCTCCTTTAACCGGCGCCGCCACGGCTTTGATCCGCTAAACACAAGACAAGATTTTTTACTACACTGTAAAAAATCTGAGTTTAGTAAAATTATTTAATTACTTGTTTAATCAATTTATTTCAAATGAGCTGAAACAACACAATTATGGAGATATTTTTGGAACAACTTAATTGGTTTAAGTGGATTGAACATAAATCAATTAAGTTGTCCCAGAAAAACTAGTTTCAGCTCATTTTAAATATGTAGTTTGAACAAAAAGCTGTCAAATGTAATTTTTATAATTATAAATTTAGAATAATTTATTAAAAACCCATTTAAGTTGTCTCAAAAAATGTATTTAAGGTATTACATTTTATTTTAGTGTAGTTTATCGCCCTAAATTCAAATTATTTACATTATAAACCCAGTAACGTTGTACCAAAAAACTTAAAACAGCAAATTGTGTAGTTTCAGCAAAGTAGTTTGAACCAACATTTTAAAACAAAAGTGCATATTAATTATTAATGCATTGATGAATTTAGGATGATAAATGGTATTCTATTTTATTTTACTGACCTGCATTTAAATTATGGACATTATAAACCCATTTAAAAATGTATTTTGTTTTAGATGTTATGTGCATTTTCTATTATTAAATAAATATGCATTATGTAGAAATGTCATTCATTTATTTTTGTTATTATTATTTTATAGCACTTTGGATCATCTAAGGTTGTGTAAAATAGTGCTCTATAAATAAAGTTTGCCTTGCAACCTAAAAATGTATTTTGATTTAGATGTAAAGTGAAAATCCTTGATATTGAATCTAAAAAAAACAAAACATTTTAATAAATTTCTCAAACAATTTTAAAGCAATAAAATTACATTTATAGTAAAAAAGAAATGTCGGTTTTAAATTATTTTATTTTATTTTGTTTTATTTTATGGCCCTAAATTTAAATCATGGACATTATAAACCCATTTAAAAATGTATTTTGATTAAGATGTAATGTGAAAATCACTTACATTGTATCTAAAAAATGTTTTTATTAAAATACTCAAACCATTTTAAAGCATTATAAAGTAGACATGTCAGATTTTTGTTAATCTAAAAAACAATAAAACATACAAAAATAAGAACATAATTCATTATTATATTAACAACATTATTAATAAGTTAGAAAAGTAGAAAAGTCTGTATGTTTTCATTAAATGATCAAATTCTTGAACAAATTAAAGAAAATGTCAAATTGAGTTAAAATATAAATGAAAAAACTTGTTATATTTCATTTAAAATGAGAATGAAACTATAAATATGACTCCAAATTATATACAGTTGAAGTCAGAATTATTAGCCCCCTTTTGATTTTTATTTTCTTTTTTAAATATTTCCCAAATTATTTTTAACAGAGCAATGAAATTTTCACAGTTTGTCTGATAATATTTTTTCTTCTGGAGAAAGTCCTATTTGTTTTATTTCAGCTAGAATAAAAGCAGTTTTTAATTTTTTAAAAACCATTTTTGGGACAAAATTATTAGCCCCTTTAAGCTAATTTTTTTTCTGATAGTCTACAGAACAAACCATCGTTATACAATAACTTGACTAATTACCCTAACCTGCCTAGTTCACCTTATTAACCTAGTTAAGCCTTTAAATGTCACTTTAAGCTGTATAGAAGTGTCTTGAAAAATATCTAGTAAAATATTATTTACTGTCGTCATGGAAAAGATAAAATAAATCAGTTATTAGAAATAAGTTTTTAAAACTATTATGTTTAGAAATGTGCTGAAACAATCTTCCCAGAACAGAACAGAAATTGGGGAAAAAAATAAACAGGGGCGTTAATAAATCAGGGGGGCTAATAATTCTGACTTCAACTGTATATATATATATATATATATATATATATATATATATATATATATATATATATATATATATATATATATATACACACACACACACACACACACACACACACACACACACACACACACAGTTTCATTTATAACTATCATGACATTATATATCAAAACAACCTGTTATGTTTTATCTGCAATGTATCTCCTTCTCACCTCAATCAGGGAGCCATCTGATTGGATGATTTTGATGACGACCATCATCGGGATGCAAATCATTGAAGCCAGAGCAAGAGCCCAACCCAAGCCAATGGACCAATCAGGATACTTGTAAAGCTTGTTATAAGTCAGCGGCTTGTATTTCACCAATGAAAAGACAAAACAACCCTGAAAGAGAAAGGTGAGGTGATCTCCTTATATGGTTGACACACAGGCTGGTTAATTTCTCAAGCACACACACATACTTACCACACAAAGGACGGGGGTGATCAGCATCCAGCTCCATTTCATCCAGCTGTTGGGTCTGTAGCCGATCATGTCCTCTATAGCATCGTAGAAATTATCAGCCCCTAAAAATGCACACATACAGTTAAAGTCAAAATGATCAGCGCTCCTGTGAGTGTTTTTTTTTTCTTCAAATATTTCCCATATTATGTTTAAAAGAGCAAGAAATTTTTCACAGTATTTCCTATAATATTTTTTTCTCCTGGAGAAAGTCTTATATGTTTTATTTCGGCTAAAGTAAAAGCAGTTTTTCATTTCTTAAACACATATTAAGTTCAATACTACTAGCCCCCCTAAGGAATAATTTTTCAATTGTCTACAGAGCAAACTGCTGTTATAAAATAGTTGTGTTTTCATCAACCAATTTTTATGTGCATTTTGGATATGCGCATAAAAAAATGGTTGAACGAAACGCCAAGATGCGCATCAATTTTAAAAAATGCATTAAAAACATGCACATAACTGAGTGGGATAAACTTTTTATTCGATAAGAAAAATGCGCATAAACTATGATGGAAACACTTTTACCGAACAGAGTCCATATGCGCATTAAAAGCGGTCATGTGATTTTGTTCATCAAGAGATTATGTAATGGCGAGGCAGTGGCGCAGTAGTTAGTGCTGTCGCCTCACAGCAAGAAGGTCGCTGGTTCGAACCTTGGCTCAACTGGCGTTTCTGTGTGGAGTTTGCATGTTCTCCCTGCCTTCGTGTGGGTTTCCTCCGGGTGCTCTGGTTTCCCCCACAGTCCAAAGACATGCGGTACAGGTGAATTGGGTAGGCTAAATTGTCCGTAGTGTATGAGTGTGTGTGTGAATGTGTGTGTGAATGTTTCCCAGAGATGGGTTGCGGCTGGAAGGGCATCTGCTGTGTAAAAAGTTGGCGGTTCATTCCGCTGTGGCGACCCCGGATTAATAAAGGGACTAAGCCGACAAGAAAATGAATGAATGAATGAGATCATGTAATGAAAATGTGTGTGAATGGATAAACCAGCAGGCTGAGCACATTGTAAAGCATCTGAAATGTTGTTTTGGTCATTCTAAAATGCTTCAACCGTTTCAGTATTAGTGTTATTATATTTTTAATTACCTCCAGAATAGTCAAGAGCATCTGTGCTCCGAGTCTCATGCCTCCAAACGCCCCCACGTGTTCATTGTGTGTCAGGATTGTCTTCTGACGCGCAACTCATTTATTAAATAAAGAAAATATTGACGCAGCTTCTCCTACCTCAATAAATTCCATTTTTACTTTTGATATTTGGTGCCAGTTTCTGTAATTAGAAAGTGACGAATTTGTTCTCTTTGAATCATTGAATGAAAACGCTGCTTTATTCACACGTCTTTTACGCGATAATCCAGTGCAGTAGGTGATTGTCTTTAGAAACCTTTTTTTGTTGTGCTGGTTGAAAGTCTCTTCACATTCCAATAGTACTATTTAAAGTAAATAATCTAAATGTACTTGTATGTAATTTTTATATTCAGCATACAACAAAAAAATGTTCATCCAATTAAATATTGTCGGACCGACAAATAACTCAGTTACAATCTCAAACTGTCTGTCAACAAATTTAAATGTGAATTTCTGCGCAGCCTCTTTATGCAGACAGATACGTAGAGACATAGCCCCTTTCACACAGTGATACCGGTTAATTTCTGGAAAATTTCCAGAAAGACTTTACCGGTATATTGAAAAAAGCGCTGTTCACACAGGCGAGGACGTTACGGAAATTTTCCGGAAAAGAGCATTCACACATCCATTCCAAAATACCGGTAAATTCTGACATCATTCACCACAAATGAGCTTTAAACGGCTGCGCTTGTATTTGTAAACATTTGACTAAATTACAAACTCTGTGGCTGATCAATATTGTGAACAACTTTCGCAGGATCACTTTCGCATGTCGAGATGTTTATAATATGTGCGTGTGCAGGCGCTCATAGGCGCACGCAAAGCTTGAAGGTAAACAAACAACGGCTTATCATAAGCATCTCATCGATGATTATTTACACAGTTGGCATTAAGAAGAACATATAAACGTGATCTGACTAACTTCAAGCAGCTAAATGTGTCTGGAAAAATATTCAAAGGCTTTTATCCTCACAAACCGCGCAGAGGTAAATGCGTCTGACTGTTGTGATTGGCTAAAGCAGACGTCTCACGTCAGCACGTTCTAGACGTGCACGCGCTTATTACGGGAATCTTCCTTCTGAATTCACACAGCGCAGCATTCCGGCAAATTGCCGGTAATGTTACAACTTCTCTTTCTGGAAAATAGCCAGAACGAATTTACCGGTATTTTCAAAAAGGACCTGTTCACACATACAACCTTTCCGGAAAATTGCTGGCAATTTTCCGGAAAGGTCTGTATGTGTGAAAGGGGCTATTGAGAGTTCATCCTGCAAACTCTGCATCAACCTGAACTTCTTTCTGAAAGACCAACGTGACCTTGTATGCATGAAAAGAAAGATTATTTCTGAAATGGCTTCTGCCTAAAATGCAGCATCAAAACTTTTCTAAATCCTGAATCAATATTGAATCTACTATTGAACGCTGGAGGAAAATGATGTTATGCAGTTCAAAACAACGATCTGAAGGGTGACACCACGGCTGAAGTATTTCTTTTAGACAGGTGTGTGTTAAAACAGTTTTAGCCATGCAAAGCTGATGTAGACTGTGTTCTTGTTTATGAATGGGTTTACATGCATGGAAGTGTTGTTCAGCCACTAAAAAATATCCTGCAGAAGATTGGCTGTTTTCAAGTTCATGGAGTAGCTTTTACAGCATCGATAATATAGTCGGTTAAATAGACCTGAGCATTCGTTTAGTTGTTCAAGTGTAAAAGGAGCTGAAAACAAGTGATGTGCGAGGATCAGCGAGAACAATTGAAAATCAAAAGTCACTGGTTGTCTTGGTAAAGCATGCGTGCATTTATGGAGCTAATAAATGCCAAAACAATTTGAATTTGAAATGTGTTAAATTGAACTATTAACAATTGTAATTCTCTGCAACTCTCACATGGTCGCCCACTGAAGCTAAGCAGGGCTGCGCCCGGTCAGTACCTGGATGGGAGACCACATGGGAAAGCTAGGTTGCTGCCGGAAGTGGTGTTAGTGAGGCCAGCAGGGGGCGCCCAACCTGCGGTCTGTGTGGGTCCTAATGCCCCAGTATAGTGACGGGGACGCTATACTGCTCAGTGAGCGCCGTCTTTCGGATGAGACGTTAAACCGAGGTCCCGACTCTCTGTGGTCGTTAAAAATCCCAGAATGTCCTTCGAAAAGAGTAGGGGTTTAACCCCGGCATCCAGGGCAAATCTGCCCACTGGCCTTTGTCCATCATGGCCTCCTAACCATCCCCATATTCCAATTGGCTTCATCGCTTTCTCCTCTCCACCAATCAGCTGGTGTGTGGTGTGTGGTCTGGCGCAAAATGGCTGCCGTCACGTCATCCAGGTGGATGTTGCACACTGGTGGTGGATGAGGAGATTCCCCCCATTGTGTGTAAAGCGCTTTGAGTGCCCAGAAAAGCGCTATATAAATGTAAGGAATTATTATTATTATTATTATAAAGTAAACCACAGTTATTCCCAAGGGTTTAATTATTGCAGTAAAAAGAAAGTGTAATGTAAAAAGATGACAGGGTATTTCTGTTTTTAGCACTCATTTTTTCTGATCTAGTTTGTATTTAGTTTAATAACAAAACATCAGTAAATGTGCTCTTCCGCCTGACCAGCTTTACTGAGGAGAAGTTTGGTTAATATTCACACATTCATTCCTTTTTAGACAGTGACAGCCTGTGACACAGTTTTAGGGAAATATATCCCGCATCCGCTGGCCTGTCAACAACTACGCTTGATAAAGTGTGTGTCTCCATAGAGTTTTCTAACTGGTGAATGACATGATCTAGTGCTATATTTAATCAGTGCGCGTTCGCGTGTTCATGACTTAAGGAGGCGTGACTTTGGACAGCAGGGGAGGGTCGCAAAATTTCTAGGCTATAATGCTAATGCTAGCATTTTGGCAGATCACCTACTGCACCTTTAAGCTGTATAAAAGTGTCTTAATAAAAAAATTTATTCAAATACAGGGTTCTTACGGGTGCTGGAAATCCTGGAAAATGCTTGATTTTTAATATAGTGTTTTCAAGGTTAGAAAAGTGCTTGGATTTTGGACGAAGTGCTTGAACCAGCTTGAATTTGCAGGGCTTGAAATTGTGACTGTTTTAGTTGCATATGTGCACAATTTTGTCTATGTGACCTCAATATATATGTTTTAATTTTGTATATGTGACCTACATATATAATATGTGATCCCAAATATATTTGATGTGTGAACAGGTCCTTTTTGAAAATACCGGTAAATTCGTTCTGGCTATTTTCCGGAAAGAGAAGTTGTAACATTACCAGCAAATTGCCGGAATGCTGTGCTGTGTGAACGCAGAAGGAAGATTCCCGTAATAAGCCCGTGCACGTCTAGAACGTGCTGATGTAAGACTTCTGCTTTAGCCAATTACAACAGTCAGACGCATTTACCTCCGCGCGGTTTGTGAGAATAAAAACCTTTGAATATTTTTCCAGACACATTTAGCTGCTAGAAGTTAGTCAGATCACGTTTATATGTTCTTCTTAATGCCAACTGTGCAAATAATCATCGATGAGATGCTTAAGATAAGCCGTTGTTTGTTTACCTTTAAGCTTTGCGTGCGCCTATGAGCGCCTGCACACGCACATATTATGAACATCTCGACATGCGAATATGATCCTGTGAAAGTTGTTCACAATATTGATCATCCACAGAGTTTGTAATTTAGTCAAATGTTTACAAATACAAGCGCAGCCGTTTAAAGCTCATTTGTGGTGAATGATGTCCGAATTTACCGGTATTTTGGAATGGATGTGTGAATGCTCTTTTCCGGAAAATTTCCGTAACGTCCTCGCCTGTGTGAACAGCGCTTTTTTGTATATACCGGTAAAGTCGTTCCGTAAATTTTCCGGATATTTACCGGTATCACTGTGTAAAAGGGGCTTAAGACAACTACATTTTGTAAGTCAGATTTTTATAGACCTATTTTTAAACCTGAAACGACAATAGAAAAAAATAGCAATGCACATGAAATGTCATGAACGACACCCAAACAAAATCTGACTGTGAGCTCATTTCTTGAGATATCAACTTTACGTAGAAAGAGACCAAACTTAAAAGCATTTTGTATGTATTTTTTAATCATTTTTGGGTAAACTATCCCAATAAATCCAAAACATCTCCAATAAATCTAAAGTTCTCAACAATTTTTAGTTTTTTAAATAGCACAGTTGATTTGAATGTGAAAAATTACATGCAATATATATATATATATATATATATATATATATATATATATATATATATATATATATATATATATATATATATATATAAACATTATTAACCGTGGTTATTAGGTGCTGGAAAAGCATACAAATGTACGTTGAAAGTGCTTGAAAAGTGCTGGAATTTGTAGTTGGAAAAGGTGTAAGAACCCTGCAAATATTATGTACTGTCATCATGGCAAAGATAAAAGAAATCAGTTATTAGAAATGAGCAAAATTATTATGTGTAGAAATGTGCTGAACAAATCTTCTCTCCGTTAAACAGAAATTAGGAAAATAAAATATACACGGGGGGCTAATAATCCAGGAGGTCTAATAACTGTGCCTTCAACTGTACAATCAAAATGAAGCATTTCTCTTTTCCTCATCAGTAACAGTGCATATAAACACAGGAATCTGCATTTATTTCCTCAACATTCAGCACTTAAAGCCTGAGGAAAAGTATGCTGATTCCCTGTGGGGCACACTTAGGACACAGAAAAGAAATCTGAAATAAGCCCAGAGGACTGATGTAATTATATAAGACTAAATAGGATTATATAAGATTAATCTCTGCAAACCTTGTTAGTCTGTTGATTGAGTAACCTCAGTGAGCTTACTGCAAAGATGCATGACGCTACACGTGCTCAGTATGCTGAAAAACCCACTTTACTAGGTGGCACGGTGGCTCAGTGGTTACCACTGTCACCTCACAGCAAGAAGGTAGCTTGTTTGAGTCCTGATTCAGTTGGCATTTCTGTGTGGAGTTTGCATGTTCTCCTCGTGTTGGCGTGGGTTTCCTCTGAGTGCTTCGCTTTCCCCCACAGTCCAAACACATGCGCTATAGGAGAATTGAATAAGCTAAATTGTCTGTAGTGTATGTGTGTGAATGAGTGTGTATGGATGTTTCCTAGTACTGGGTTGCTGCTGGAAGGGCATCCGCTGTGTAAAACATGTGCTCGATAAGTTGGTGGTTCATTCTGCTGTGGCAACTCCTAATGAATAAAAAGACTAAGCCGAAGGAAAATGAATGAATGAATGAATATATTTAGTGTGGGTGACGCGGTGGCTCAGTGGTTAGCACTAAATTGGCTGTAGTGTATTAGTGTGTGTGTGTGTGTGTGTGTGTGTGTGTGTGTGTGTGAATGTGAGGTTTGCAGCTGGAAGAGCGTAAAACATATTTACATAGTTAAAACAGTTATTGGTGGTTCATTCCACTAATAAACCAGGGACTAATCCTGGGGAAAATGAATGAGTGAATAGATTTATTGATATTTATTTAATACAGATCTACTAGTGTGTACTCATAGATATATACATTAGATGTCGCCTATCCTGTTGCTGTCTATTGTAAGGAATGTGTCAATAGAGCCACCATTTTGGAACAGGGTAGCGCTCCTTTGAAATGAATGCGGGACCAAGGTACAGTGGAGGACTGTGGCCATCCAAAGCCAGAGATATACACATATACACATATATCTATGATCGGGAGTTTTCCTGGATGTTAGCGTGTTAATTATTTTTTAAATTACGAAAATTATAATTTTACATCACTTTTCTACATTGATGGATCAGTGACCGCACGGGCATTCCTGACAAAAAGCTTGTGTTTGTGTGTACAGAAATGTACTATTCACCCTCCCTGTTAAATTTGATCTAATCATGTCCTGAAACACAGCTCCTCTCCTGCTTTCACTTCTCATACTGACGGAGGGAGCGATTCGTTTGTGAATGAATCTCCGTTATCAACGACTCCTTCATTAGCCAACAATAATACAAATTTCTGGCACTGCAGCATCTCGTTGTCATATTTCTTTAGCATTGTTTGCTGATATTATTCAACAAATCTAGCATAAGCCAAGTGTTTAGTGCGAGTTGGAGCTACTTTGCCTTATGGTGAATGCAGTAAGTGACTGTATTATCATCAATAACGCTACCAGTTTAGCACAAATTTCAGAACATACAAAATGTAAAAAACTAAATCTTACCTATGAAATGTTCTGCCTTTGTGCTTTGTTTTCTTTGTTTGCTCGTTACTACTTCACGTAATAAACTTGTCTTGACTAGTGCGGTTGAATAGACATTTGTCCTGGGAGCACTGTATCAATGTGGCGGCGCTATTGATGCAGGCTCAGGGTCCCTATGCGATATCTAGTGTATATATCTATAGTGTGTACTTACCGTAAACCCAGGCTACTGCAACACATTCAAAGAATGCAACCCAGAGAAGGCACACACCGCTGGCGGCGTAGTAGTCAAACAGCTGGAAGACGTACATGCCACCCTAACAGAAACAAACACAGTGATATTCAGCATCCAGATGCCGGCGCGCCGCTGAAATCAATCCTGTAAACATGCTCTTCTCTTACTTTAGTGACCATGGTGAGTCCCAGCAGGTAACTGATGACGCAGATCACAGCGATGAAGATTTCTCTCCGGTATCCCTTCCTTAGGAGGGACGGGTACAGGTCCACCAGCGAGGTGATCTGACCCTCCACTTCTACAAACTGATGGACAAAAAACACACACATGAGATTTAACTACAAGTCAATTAGAGTTACTTTAGATTCATTAGTGCATAAGTAGTAAAAAAGTATAACCTCTAGGATTTTTTCCAGGTGTAGCAGCAGGCCTTTTTTTTAACACAAATCTACCAACTACCTGTGGTGTTATTTCAATAACAAATGTCATCTTACGATACTAGCTGAAGTATCACGATACCAAGTAGTATTGCGATACTGTAATTCACTACTCAAATAATTTTAAAAATTGGCAGAAATACTATATTTTATGATATAATAGGCCTACTTGAATTTAATTCATAATTTCCTTAAGGCCAAAAAGTATTATTAGCACTCCAGTTCACCTAAAATAGATTAATTCTTTTTGTTTATTTCGTAGGTAACTGACCAACAAAAATAAATTAAAATAAAGATGCAAATTATATAAAATGAAATTTGTTACAAAAGAGTATTTTTCCAACAAAATTACCATACGTTCACACCGAAAGCAGCGAGAGAGTCAAAGTAGCCAAAAGTTATAATCATATCACCCCAATTTTATCCTCCTTACACTGGCTGCCTGTTAAGTTTCGTATTGAATTTAAAATATTACTCCTCACCTATAAAGCTCTAAATAATCTAGCTCCTGTTTATCTAACCAACCTTCTGTCTCGCTACAATCCAACTCGCTCTTTAAGATCTCAAAACTCAGGGCTTCTGGTAGTACCTAGAATAGAAAAATCGAGTAAAGGAGGTCGAGCCTTTTCTTTTATGGCTCCTACACTCTGGAATAGCCTTCCTGATAACGTCTCAGACACACTCTCCCAGAGGCTCAGACACACTCTCCCAGTTCAAAACTAGATTAAAGACCTATCTGTGTAGTGAAGCATACACTTAGCGGGTTTCCACACAAGTTTCTGCATCTTGTTTATATACACTCTGAACAGCAGCAACGCTAATTATTCTCTTTATTCTTAATTTCCACCTAGGGATACTCATCCCGAGGTCCTCACTGATTGGTCACTGATTGGATCCAAGACCAGCGACGAGATGATCCCAAGGTCTCCATATCCGGGACCAGGCCGTATCCTGAGCTGCTGCGCTGGTGGTCATGGGGGAGTGGAGAGTATGAGACTGATTCCAGTGACGCTCTAGGGACTGACGAGTCTTCGCTGAGGCTAGCTTCCAGCCTCCGCCGCTGAGACTGCAGCTCTGCACAAGACTTTTGGCCAGCGGAGAAATTAAAATGGTAGTGCTGAACGGAGTCTGGTTTCTCTCAAAGTTTTTTTTCTTCACTCTCCTATATCGGTGAAGTTTTTTTTCCCTCTCCGCTATTGCCTCCAGCTTGCATGGTTTGGGATTGGTAGAGCTGCGCATCGATGAATTTGCTCTTCAGGGTTTGGACTCTCAGTAATGATTTTAAACCACACTGAACTGAGCTAAACTGAACTGAACTTAAACACTAAAAACTGAACTGCACTGATCCAGTTACTATGACCATTTATGTAAAGGTGCTTTGACGCAATCTACATTGTAAAAGCACTATACAAATAAAGCTGAATTTAATTTAATTGAATACGACACGGTTTGGCAGCAAGCAATCAGAATGTAGAAGTCCACCGCTTGAGAGGAGTCCAGAGAGCACAATACTGTGAACTTAGATTCGAACCACAGCTATTCCCAAGGGTTTAATTATTGCAGTCGCCGGATTTCCAATTATTTGCAATGATTTTGTTACAGGAACATAATTTAAAAAGTTACTGACGAGTTACTGATGTGTATTAATGTTATAAGTTATATATTTATTTTTTCTTTAAAAAAATAGGAATATCATGCGACAATTCAAAACAGTACTGCTGCTTCAGGATACTTCAAACATATGGACACACCGGATAATTAAGCAAAGCCACACCACATGCAACTTGATCTTCCGTAGTTAAATGAATTTGATATTAAGTGAGCAACATTTTCACCCTACAAAGTGTGTTTTTATGCAGGAATGTAACTGATATGATATGCTGCAACGGCCCCTTTAAATACGAGATCAATTTAACGAATATTGACGCTCGCGCAGCCGGAGCTGAAGACAGACAGTGTTGTCGCCAGAGCGACCTATGATGCTCTCGCTGCTTTCGGTGTGAACGCATAGTTAGGCTACATGAAATGCTCAAAAATTGTTTCAATGTTTCCTGTTGCTCTTTTGGGCTTTTCATCTATTTTTTTTTTCAGTCTAATTAGGTAACAATCCAAAGTAATTCAAAATTTCACTTTGTGAGTCGTTCTTGTAAAGAGATTGTTGCGTTTGTTGTAGCTACTAAATCATATTAACAGGAACAGAAATAAACTGATTTAGATGTGCGGTTGAACTGAAGTGTTAGAAAACGTGCAATAGGCTACCATAAATGGCGCAAATTCTACAGCAGGGGTCTCAAACTCGCGGCCCGCGGGCCATTTGCAGCCCTCAGTGCAATATTTTGTGGCCCGCGCCGACCGCTGTACTCTGACAGAATCAGCGGAGCGGGGAGAGAGAGCGCGCTTGTCACTCAATGCGCGTTGTCGCGTGCGTTCTGATCAGCTGTGTTGTCGCGCGCGTACTCAAGAGCGGTGTTATCACGCGCCTACTGAAGGGCGGGACCAAGGGTGTGTCACGTCGCGGGGGCACTTTTGATCATTTTGGAAGGGCACTTTCTATGCAAGACTAAAAAGGGCATGTGCTCTGCACAGGTTGAGCCCTATGTGTGCACGTGCCTGCCCTGCATCTTATATATATTGATATTATAGGTAGATACAGACTGGTACAGACTGATGTGACTGGAGTGGGGTGGGGGTGTTTTATTTATACATATATACGCCTTTTTTTTTAGGTGAGGGAATGGAAGTTTTGAGTGAGTTCCCCCACTTTTTTCCCTAGGACTTCAATAAGTCAAAGTACAGGTCTAGACTTAATGATGATCATCTTCAAGCCATACTGAGGGTCTCAACTGCAACTGCTTCCGCTCTAAAGCCAAATGTGGTTCAGATTTGTGAGAAGAAGTGCTGTCAAGTCTCTGGCAGCAAGAAGTAGGCAAAAGATGCCATGTTCAGAAGAACTGTTCATAATCTTCACTCAATGTTCTATTAATGTTCAGGACACTTCATGTTCAGAAGAAATAATTAAAACTGTTAATAATGACATTTGAGGACTTTTTTTTTGTGAAATCCCTTATGCGGCCCAGCCTCACCCAGACTTTGCCTCCTGCGGCCCCCAGGTAAATTGAGTTTGAGACCCCTGTTCTACAGTTTTGCAACCTTTAAGGACTCCACAGACTATTCAAATAAAAAGATCTATTGCTGTACAAACGGGTGACGATTTTAGTGACTTTTCCACATGCAACACTATCTACTGTAGATAAACCGTTTATGATGATACTACCATTTACAAACTACAGTGGCACCGCCAGTATTTGGGAACTATAGTATCGCGATACTACCATAGTACCGGTTAACCGTGCAACCTTAACTGTAATACACCCACTTTGTCACCTTAGAGTTATAAGGTTCTATCTGACATTTTTGTCAAACCTTAGTTATTGACATATTCTTATTAAATGATAACTTATTTACATTATGGGGTGTTTTTTTTTTTATAATTTATTTACATTTTAAGACTTTTTATTTAAAAATATGCAAAAACTTTAAAGCTCAATATCACAAAATCATTCAGAACACAGATAGAACCTTATAATTGCAAGGTGACGACTTGTCAGCACCTCATGTGACCCTCTAATGTGTCAAAACACACAGCCGGAAGGTTTATAACCCTTGTCTGACATCTTGCCAGAGTCATTTGAAGTGTGAAAATTCATAACATTCATTCATACCAACAGCACCCTTATTGCTGTCAATACACTGTTGTTGAGCTGTTGTTTGTGTGTGTGATGTGATGTAGGTGTAATTTCACACACAGACACACCCATACGCAAAAGGAAATGTGATCCACTGCATGGAGTCTTTTTAGCAGGTCATATGAGACTGAAATAACCTCGCCGTCTTGTGATATGAGAGTGTGAGGGTGTGTTTATGGGAGGAATCTGAAAATACAAAGTTGTAATTCCTGAGCGCTGGATCACAGCCGCAGACAGTTGATGTTTCATGTCAGGACTGTGCTATGGACAAATGTGTCATACAGTTATGATCTGCTGTCTTAACCGCCTTAATGTTTGCGCTTTTTTCATTCTCACACCCGTCACACAATGTAGAGGACATTTTTATTACCCAGAGGTCGCTCTTTTATATTACTGGAGACTATGTTTCAGAGATAACTAAGCTTTTTTGACCTAGCGAAAATGACTTCTGTAGGAGGGAAAAAATATACAGGTTTGGAGTGACATGAGTGGGTAAAGTGACAGAGTTGTCTTTTTATTTTAGAGAAACAAAAGTGTAAGTGTTTTTTTTTTTTTTTTGCTTGTTTGTTTGTTTACCTGTTATTCCCTACATTTTACAATAGTAATATCAGTAATTTTTGACTTTGTAGAGACATTTCTTTTGGTCACCATGAGGATAACGGCTCATAAATCACACAGAATAAAGTATTCAGAAATCTAAAAACACAGATTGTTTCAATTGAGGGTTGGTTTAGCCTTAGAGGGCCGGTGTCTTGCAGATTTTAGCTGCAACTTGCCTTAGCACATCTGGATGGATGTTTCTAGAAAGCCTATTAGGAGCTTGATTGGCTAGCCTTGGTGTGTCTGACTGGGGTTGGACCTAAACTTTGCAGGACACCGGCCCACTAGGACACCCCTGGTTTAGGGGCATAGTTAAGGTAGGGGGAGAGAACATGCACTCTCATTTATTCATTCATTCATTTTCATTCGGCTTAATCCCTTATTTATCAGGGGTCACCACAACGGAATGAACCGCCAACTTTTTGCAGTGGTTGCCCTTCCAGCCACACCCCAGTATTGGGGTACACTCTCACATCCATACACAACGGCCAATTTAATTTCTTCAATTCAGATATAGCGCATGTCTTTGGACTGTGGGGAAACCAGAGCACCTAGAGGAAACCCACACCAACACAGGGACAACATGCAAACTACATACAGAATTGCCAGTTGGGACTCGAACCAGTCACCTTGCTGTGGGGTTGACAGTGCTAACCACTGAGCCACCATGCCGCCCCAATATGTACTCTGAACAGTATTAAAACAATTGCATATATATATATATATATATATATATATATATATATATATATATATATATATATTAGGGGTGTAACGATATTAAAACCGAACCGAAATATCGCGATACACCAACCACGATACGTATCGCGAAACTCTCGTGGCGTATCGCGGTACTCTCACTCCCCCTGCTGCCCATTGTTGAGGTTGACGTCACTTGTCTCTAACTAATTGAACCAATTTAAAAACATCTTTATTATCATATTTAATTAAATTGTTTTAGTAATGATGAGGTTTTGTTCTAAATATTATATTCTAAAGTTAGTATTTTTGTGCATGTCATGCCATGTGACTTGAGTAAACATCACACTTGTTACTACTGGACGCAGGACGGCTGCTTCACATAGTACTGAGATTGCAGATCCCCCAGACACATTTAAGTCATCTATGTGGAAACATTTTGGTTGTCCAGTTGAGTACAGGAATAGAATTCGTGTCGTAGACAAAGCACACGCCTGTCTGTCTTAACTTTTTCACGAAACTTACTTGTAAGGAAAAACATTTAAAAAGTGGGGTAATTTCACAATGTGAGGGTGTAAGCAACAGAACTGCCAACAAAAGTGATTTAATGTTCAAAAGTGAAACCAGAATAATGCCCAAATATACAAAAAAAAGAGAAATATTTACACTAATAAAAATAATATAATAAAGTAGCAAATTCAAACAAAAGTATCAAACAAAAATTAGTTAAACTCGAGCAAGGGGATGATAGTGAAGACAAACAAAAGAAATAAATATAATAAAACAATTCTAACTCATGAATAACCCCTTATCTAGCTAAAACTGATGAAAAGAAAAAAAGGTCTTAAGCGCCAAGCGCCGCATTCTTCCCTATACTGAATGAAATAAACAAAGATGACATTCACCTCTTACCTGATGTCTTTAGCAATACATTTTCTACGTGTTTGCAAAATGGAAATCGTATGACATTTTCCCTATCCACCTTACACTAAGACTGAACTTGAGGAGATACAGCTATATTGTCGGGAAGGAGCGGAGCCAAAAAATAATATACAAATCAATTGAAATAAAAATGTACAAACCTCTCAAAATTTCTTAAAGTGGGTTAAAGTAATGCAAAATAATTTTGCCCAAACGAAAGTTAAGCAAAAACAACGAAAATCATAATCATGTCAGAAAAATACACGAAAAACGAGATCAAAGGAAAAAGCGCTCTCTCTCCCGCTCTTCCTGAATTGCTTTTCACATTCCCGCGCTACGTCGCCAAATGATGATAGATCGGTCTCCTGACCAATCAGCTGTCAAAAAGGCAGGCCTACAGAAATGACAGGCATCAGCTGTCGTGAAGGCGGACCTACATAAAGGACCGGCATAGAGGGAGCGGGAGAGAGAGCGTGAGAGATCAGGAGGCAAACATACAGCCGGCAACAACCCTAACATTAGTTTCAGACACAACTGCAATGTATTTTACTGGTGAATATGTCATGAAAAAACACTTTACAAACACATTATATGTATATTTTTCATTAATTTAAACGGAAACCTATCTATCTAACTGAAACCATATAATCAAAAATGAGCGTCTGTGTCTGCACAGACATCAAGCCTCTCATCAGAGAATGTGGATATTATGATGTTTTTAAAGAAGATCTTTCACTAGTCTACACTGCAGTTATTTATTTAATTTTAGTTTACTTAGTTAAGATGGCTGCACTAAAGAGAATAGTTTTTTTTTTCTGACTAGTCTATATTGGAGGTATTTATTTAATTTTAGTTGTTTACTCGGGTATCCTGACTGTACTAAAAATGTGATGACAAAGTTAATAAAGAAAAAGGTAAGATGTTCTTGTTATTAAGTGAATTGTCCCTTAGCATTGCTGTTAACATGACATCAACCCTAACCCCACAGCAAACAGAAACCGAACCGTACCGAACCGAACCGTGGCTCCAAAACCGTGAACCGAACCGAACCGTGCCTTTGGTGTATCGTTACACCCCTAATATATATATATATATATATATATATATATATATATATATATATATATATATATATAAACATAATTAACCGTGGTTATTAGGTGCTGGAAAAGCATACAAATGTACGTTAAAAAAGTGCTTATATATATGTTGTCCCCATAAAGATAGCTGTGAAACTGTGTATTTTTTCTTACCTGACTGTCTAGGCCCAGCAGCAGAAGCATTATGAAGAATAGTATGGCCCAGACTGTCGGCAGTGGCATCATTGTGACAGCTTTTGGATATGCGATGAAGGCCAGACCAGGACCTGGGAGACCAAATTGATGTATTATTATTATATATTCATTTTATGCATTGAATATACTTTTTGGACATTTTTTACATGTTTGACATACATTTAGGAATATAATTCATATAAATATTTATGTTATATTTATATTGATATTTATTTAAATGTTTGTTGTAAGAATTATAAAAAATATACATAAATTAATATTTATCTATTTATTATACATTTTTATATTATTTCTATATTCTATTTATCTATTTCTGACATTTTATTATATCATTTACATGCATTAAAATGTATAAATGATCTTTATAGGTAGTTTACATTAATACTTTAGCACACCTTTCTGTTTTTTTTTTTACTTCATACATAAGTTAACTGAACTGAATTACCTTTCTCATAATATGCACTACATTATTACTTCCAAATAATTAAATAATATATTTTTTTATATTCAATTAACACCTATGACAACTTTTCCCCTTTCATTCCCAGAATTTCATGCATTCACATTGAAAACCCTGAACCCTAAGGTCACCTGACTCGGCCACGTCAGCGATGGCTATGCCCTGCTCCTGTGCCATGAACCCCAGGACTGAGAAGATGGCAAAGCCTGACACGAAACTGGTACCGCTGTTCAGGCACCCGAGCAGCATGCAGTCCCTAAACACACACAAACAAACAATGTTGACACCTTAAACAAAATAAACAGTGGATACAAAACATAAACAAATACACAACAGCATACCCTCACCTGTAACAGTTGTACTTGTACTTGTTGTAGCTTCCCAGTGAAGTCATTGCACCAAGACAAATAGCATATGAGAAAAAGATCTGAGTGCCTGCATCGATCCAAACCTACATCCATTCACAGAGAGAGAGAGAGAGAGAGAGAGAGAGAAATTAAATGAAAAATAGCAATGCAGATTGTGGTATCACGTTATACAAAAATAGCCTTCTCTCATCTCAGAAATATTGCTAAGCTAAGAAACATGCTATTTATCTCAGTTTTAGAAGAGCTAGTTCATGTTTTATGACCACTAGGCTGGATTGCTGTAATGCTCTTTTATCTGGTTGTAATGCATCCTTTATTAAAAAAATTCAGTTAGTGCAAATTGCATCTGCCAGAGTTCTTAGCAGGTCAAGAAAATATGATCATTACAATTTTATCTTCCTTGCACTGCCTGCCTTTAAAGTTCCGTATTGATTCTAAAATATTGCTTCTTACCTAGAAGCCTCTAAATAGCCTAGCTCCTGTTTATCTAACCAACCTTCTGTCCTGCTACAATCCAACCCACTCGTTAAGATCTCAAAACTCAGGGCTTTTGGTAGTACCCAAAATAACTAAAAGAACTTAAATAACTAAAGTCCACTAAAGGAGGTCGAGCTGTTTTATATATGGCTCCTAAACTCTGGAATAGTCTTCCTGATAATGTTAAAGGCTCAGACACTTTCTCAGGGTGAAAATACATAAAAAAACATATCTTTTTAGTAAAGCATATACACAGTGCATCAAAACAGGTTTTTTGGTGGTACCAAGAAAATTTAGAAAGTCCACTAAAGGAGGTTGAGCGTTTTCATATCTGACGCTTAAACAATGGAATAGTCTTCCTGATAACGTTAGAGGCTCAGATACATTCATAGTGTAAAACTGGATTAACAATGCATCAAAACTCAAGGTTTTTGGTAGTACCCAGAATAACAAAGTCCACTAAAGGAGGTCGAGCTTTTTCATATATGGCTTCTAAACTCTGGAATAGTCTTCCCGATAATTTTAGAGACTCAGACACTTTCTCAGGGTGAAACTACATTTAAAAAACTTTTCTTTTTAGTAAAGCATATACACAGTGCATCAAAACATGGTTTCTGGTAGTACCCAGAATATCCAGAAAGTCCACTAAAGGAGGTCGAGCGTTTTCATATCTGACGCCTAAACAATGGAATAGTCTTCCTGATAACGTTAGAGGCTCAAATACTTTCTCAGTGTAAAACTTGATTAACAATGCATCAAAACTCATGGCTTCTGGTAGTACCCAGAATAACAAAGTCCACTAAAGGAGGTCGAGCGTTTTCATATATGGCTCCTAAACTCTAGATTAGCCTTCCTGAAAATGTCAGAGGCTCAGACACTTTCTTAGCGTAAAACTAGATTACAAAACTTATCTCTTTAGTAAAGCATATATACAATGCATCAAAACTCAGAGCTTCTGGTAGTACCCATAATAACAAAGTCTACTAAAGGAGGCCGAGCATTTTCAAATCTCTGTTTCTATTTCCACTTCCTCTAGATTGTGGAGTCCCACTCAATCAGTTCCAAGACCTGTGAAGAGATGATGCCAACCCTACGAGGACTAGAAGAGATGATGCTCATTTGTAGAAAAAAATCCTTATTAATAGGCATTTTTATTTTAAAAAATGTGGGTCTCCTTGCTTGGTTTTGTAGCCTTCTCCCATCTGTATTCAGAGAAAACTCTCATACTGCTTTAATTTTAATGTGGTTCTGAAAAGTCTCAGTTTTGAAAAACCTACATCTTTTGCAAAAGAGAATTGGGACACCCTTGCCCTTCATGTGAACTGAGGGGTAGGGGTGGAACTGAAATTGGCCCTAAACGTCAACTTACCCTAACCCTAATCTTAATTTAACAGTCTAGAATTAGATTCCATGCAGTTGCAATGTATGATATAACCAACAAAATGTGTTAAAGGGACCATCAATATAAAGATATTCCCAAATAGTTTAGTTTCAGTCAGTCTCAGTACCTCCGGGTCTTTCAGGCGGGAGAGATCTGGGTAAAGGTAGAACTTGATGCCCTCGGTGGCACCAGGCAGAGTCACACCGCGGATCAACAGTACAATCAGCATGAGGAAGGGGAATGTGGCTGTGAAATAAACCACCTGCAGACACACAGAGTTTGTGCTTTTCCATTACCAGCATCAAATAATTATACACCTACTGTACATACAGTAACACAATCCATATTCATTAAGTAAAGGTACAGTTCACACAAAGTAAAAATCGTGTCATATCTTCGGTCAAAAGTCATTTTTATTTTGGATGCGATTATTTGCCCAGCACTAAAAAAAGATTTAACCTTACTCAGGTTTTACCACAATAATGATAATTTTCTCGTATTTGGACACGATTATAAAAAGTTTTGGTGGACATTTCTCATCCTCTCCCTCACCTTTCCAGTGGATTTGACTCCTTTCCAGATGCAGAAGAAGCAAATGACCCAGACGGCCAGCAGACACAGTGCAAGCTCCCACTTTAGACCACCAACCTCGTCGATCCCTGAAGAGATGCTGAGGACGTTCCTCCTGCAGACGACAGCAGACTGATGAGAACAGGCAAAGAGCGACCATCCCATACACATATTTAAATATGTTAGTATAAAGGCGTTTTTATTTTGTGCACGCATTTCTATTTGGATTATATATATTTAGTTTTAGTAATTCTAGTTTAGCAGAGTTAACAGGACACGTTCATTGTCGACCAGAGTGAAGTTTAGTGTTTGCACAGTTTAATTGAACTTTTGTGCAAACCTTTTAATAATAAAATGTAACAAAATTTAAATAATAGTTTGAACAGACACTGAAAACCAAACCACACAAATGGAACCTAACCCTTGTGTGCTGTTGGCTAACAAATGAAACATGTTTGTCTAAAAAGCGCCATCTACTTGTATTTCTCTAAACAGAAATTCAAAAAGCGATTATTGTTTTTGCTAATTATTATTTTAAATTAACAAAAATATTTTTTGGCCAATAGTTTTAGTTTTCATTTATTAAAATAACACTCCATACTTACTCCCAGAATTCAGTGACCGGCGAGGTGAAGTTGGTGGCATTGGCAGAGAGCCAGAGGGTTTTGTTCTTGCGTACGGTGTCCTCCACGCAGTTCTCCGTGTTCCAGCTGTGTCTGCAGCGCGCCCAGGGCAGCTCGTGCTGGAAACACTGCAGCAGGTAATACAGACCCCACGCCAGGATCACGATGTAGTAGATGTTCAGCAGAGACACAATTATGATTGAGGCGTAGCCGATTCCTGACGCACAAAGAAAGTACAGCTCAATATCACAGGTAAATTCACCACACACTTAAAACAAATATATGGGAAAACATCCAAATCTTCTACAGCAGTAATAGCATAGAAGAGCCATTATCAAATAAAAATCAGTGATCAGGGGCCTCATTTATCAACAAAAACATTGCGTACGCCAGATTTCACTCTCATGTTTAGATTTACTAACGATGAAATTAACTTGAGAATGTTCATTGGTCTGCACCAACTTCATGTCTGGTATACGTGTATTTGTTGTGTGTGTTTGTTTTTTCCATTGGCGACTCCTGGGGTCTGTTCTTCGTACGTGGATTACTCAGTTAGCTGGATTTGAATATTGACGATTTGACACGATCCAGGATCGTTTCGTTCTTCAAAGATGATCTGAGAGTTGTTGTAATGGCAACAGTTCTGCTAGGTAAAACCTGATCGGGAGCAGGCTCAATTCATTTAAACAGGATTAGATCGGCTCAGTTCAAGCAAAGATAATACAGAAAGTATGTTCTGAATTCTGATATTTTCTTACAGTAGTAGTTATATACACTTGGGAAAATGGTACATATTTTTTAACTATATATATATATATATATAAAGTTATGGTTATTAATAAAATAAATAAAGTTATACATATTAATAAAACTTATGCAATCTGCACCCTCGAAATGAAAGTACAAAGACTGCCACCTGGTGGTGCAAAGAGAAAACTTATTAATATAAACGTTTTAGATTGCTTTAGTACAAACTGTGTATAATAGAAATGCACAATATGTGACTTTTTTCTTTTAAAGCAATAATACATTTATGCAGTCATAAACATGTTTTGATAGTTAATATGCCAGTGTTTTGATGCTTCACAAAAGTTGCAGACGCCTTTACCAATATCAAAATGCTTTTGTAAACAACCAGTTATTCTTTACACCGATTAAAAAACAGCTACTATAATAAAGAAAATATTTTCTAAATGTGGAACTGAATACATTGATTTGCATTGAAATACATGATGAATACTCTTGACACATGAAAGTGTAAAGTCTGCAGCTCACAACAAATGTGGAAGGTTATTGCGCGTCATATTTAACAAGCCGTTTACTGCTAATTTGATGTAATTTTGCTCACATGGATAATTGAATATTAATCAGATGATGTCATTACGCTGCTGTGCCGTCAGCCAATCGTTGCATTGCTGATCATGATTTCGAGGATCGATAGATCTGTCCTTCACAACACACGCAGCGATCTCAGATCAGTTTATCCAGACATTCTAATCTGATTCGCGAACTTGTTTGAAGAACCAAATTAGCGAGAGATCAGTTATCAAGATGAAAAGATCCAGGATCTGCCAAATCATCTTAGATCATTTAAGCGAGGTACGAAGAACGGACCCTTAGAGGCAATTTTAAATTGCACACTACAAAGAATCGCACCAACACATGTGAAAAACATTGCTATTAATTTATAATTGATCAAATGGGTTAATTATTAAGTATAATCCAAAACTAAAACATCATATTTATTCAAATCCTGTATAAAAATCTATTAAATCTAACTAATTCAACAGATTGGCACTTATAGAACTGCTAAAATAATGGTGTTGCCTTGGTTACTACAGTAAACAAACCAACATGATGCCAAATCTAGCAGGATTATATTGATTTCATAAACTACACAGCATCCTGATATTCACAGATTTATTTCAAGCAAACTTTTGCATATAACTATACATTGCATGATCAATAATTATATAACATTTAATACCTTGCAAAATAGCATTTAAGACTTTTTAATACCTTTTAAGGACCTTAAATTTCTCTACTTTGATTGATCAACTTTTGATACTTTTTAAGACCCTGCGGGACACCCTGTATATATATACAGCAATAGAAAAATTCTGAACATTTATGTGGATGTGTTTTTTTCTGTAATATTCATATGCATTGCTCTGTAAACTACTGATGACATTTATTTCAAATGTACAATAAAAATGTTCTTACTAAATAACATAATGCTTCCATGCTTTCATAGGTAGTGCTGTCGCCTCACAGCAAGAAGGCCGCTGGGTCGCTGGTTCGAGCCTCGGCTCAGTTGGCGTTTCTGTGTGGAGTTTGCATGTTCTCCCTGCGTTCATGTGGGTTTCCTCCGGGTGCTCCGGTTTCCCCCATAGTCCAAAGGCATGCGGTACAGGTAAATTGGGTAGGCTAAATTGTCCGTAGTGAATGAGTGTGTGTGCAAGTGTGTGTGTGGATGTTTCCCAGAGATGGGTTGTGGCTTGAAGGGCATCCACTGCGATAAGTTGGCGGTTTTCTCCGCTGTGGCGACCCCGGATTAATAAAGGGAATAAGCTGACAAGAAAATGAATGAATGAATTTATATGAATATATATATATATATATATATATATATATATATATATATATATATATATATATATATATATATATATATATATATGCGGTATATAGGTGGCCAAAAAGTCCATCACATCCCATTAATTTGCCTGTCGCCCACCCAACCACTCCCCCACATTGCTTTGATTTGTACTTGAAGTTTGTATATCTAGCACTAGGATGAACAAGTATTGGATCAGGACTCCAGATACTCAATATTAAATGACATTGACTGGATCTGAGGCACATAAGTCCCCCTAAGTCTTGATGGGGAATCCCTTCTGTCTGGTCAAACATGAGCTCATCGATCTGATCCAATCAATCTACTATTTTATTCCTGCTGTTACTCCTTGTTCTTTAAATATTTAGTTTATTCGTAGGGTTTAATGGATTGACAATCAAATATTTAGTAGCGATACAACTAACTAACGTGCAACTGAACCCTAATGAATAAAAATAGAGTCTCTCTCTGTTTTTCCTAATTTAATTCAATCTAATTTCACTCAAAAATGTCACATGAAGGTTGAACGTACTGAATGCCATTTCATGTTCATAAAGAGTTCATTAGATTACAGATCACTTGTTGTTTATGCAGTCAGTAGTGCTGTAATGAAAACACTTAAATCTGCAGCTTTTATGCTGACAACAAACACATTTAATCCATGATCTGGCAGGATTAGAGCTGGTTATGAAGGATTTAACAAGCATCACAAGCAAGTCTGGTGTTGCAGACATGAATAGCTTTGAATATGTGTAATGTAATGCATTGTGTATGGCCATACAGTACACTCAAAGCGCATTACAGTTGTGTGAGGGGGTCTATTTGCATCCTACTTTATGCACCAAATTAAATGACTGAATAAATCATTTGCAAATAAAACAACATTTCCTTCCCATATAATTGAAGACAATAAAAATCAGCAATTCAAGGAACAAATAAATCATACATACGATTTAGTGAATTTAGAGAATTAATTAATAAATCATACTAAAGGTTTACTTAAAATAAGCGAATGAGTTAATACATTGTATTAGGAATGCACTGATTATAGACTTTGGTTGTACGATTATAGTCTGAGGAATAATCACAGTTTCACAGTTAACGCGATTATTTACGTATTCACGTCACGATCATGATGCATTCATTAATTTCTGGTTTATTCCCCACTTCATTTAAGCAGGCTAGGGTAACCCCACTGCTACTTTCTGGAGAAAGTAGTGTTCAATCAAGTCCTGGACTTTCTTACTCAAAACAATCTCATGGACAACAAGCAATCCGGCTTTAAGAAAGGCCACTCAACTGAGACTGCCCTGCTCTCGGTCGTGGAGGATCTCAGACTGGCTAAAGCAGACTCAAAATCCTCAGTCCTCGTTTTGCTGGACTTGTCAGCTGCTTTTGACACTGTCAACCACCAGATCCTGCTATCTACGCTCGAGTCACTGGGCGTTGCGGGCACTGTTATACAATGGTTCAGATCTTACCTCTCTGACAGGTCATTCAGGGTGTCTTGGAGGGGAGAGGTGTCCAACCTACAGCATCTAAACACTGGGGTACCTCAAGGCCCTGTTCTTGGGCCACTTCTCTTCTCCGTCTACACGACATCCCTAGAACCAGTCATCCAGAGACATGGATTCTCCTACCACTGCTATGCTAATGATACCCAGCTATACCTCTCTTTTCATCCTGATGATCCCTCGGTTCCAGCTTGCATCTCAGCCTGCCTGTTGGATATTTCACACTGGATGAAAGATCATCATCTTCAGCTTAACCTCGCAAAAACGGAAATGCTTGTAGTTAATGCCAACCTGACTCTACACCATAACTTTTCAATCCAGATGGATGGGGCAATCATTACTGCATCCAAAATGGTGAAAAGCCTTGGAGTAACGATTGATGACCAACTAAACTTCTCTGACCACATTTCTAGAACTGCTCGATCATGCAGATTCGCACTCTATAACATCAGAAAGATCCGACCCTTCTTATCTGAACATGCAGCTCAACTCCTTGTTCAAGCTCTTGTTCTCTCCAAACTGGATTACTGCAACTCTCTACTAGCTGGGCTTCCAGCTAACTCTATCAAGCCTCTTCAACTGCTCCAGAACGCAGCAGCACGAGTGGTCTTCAATGAACCTAAACGAGCACATGTCACTCCGCTGCTAGTCCGTTTGCACTGGCTGCCAGTTGCTGCTCGCATCAAATTCAAAGCTCTGATGTTTGCTTACAAAGTGACTTCTGGCCTTGCTCCTTTTTATCTGCTCTCACTTCTGCAGATCTATGTGCCCTCCAGAAACTTGCGTTCTGTGAATGAACGTCGCCTCGTGGTTCCATCCCAAACAGGGAAGAAATCACTTTCGCTCACGCTCAATCTGCCCAGTTGGTGGAATGAACTCCCTAACTGCATCAGAACAGCAGAGTCACTCGCTATTTTCAAGAAATGACTAAAAACTCAACTATTTAGTCTCCACTTTACTTCCTAGTCTGCAATTGCCTCTCTGAATATCACACTAACTGTACCCAAAAAAATAAAAAATACTAATACTACTAATACGTTCCTTCTTAGACTTTACAGACCTGAAACTTGCCTATAGCACTTATTC